AAATCAATTGAAAAATATGACTAATTACAGTATCCAGCATTAACTGTTGAGTTTTATGGGAATTGAATGTTACCATTAATTTTTAAACACTTTTAAATGTAGGAAAAAACTTTAAAATTTCAAAAAAGCATAGAAAATAAGGTACACACATGTATGCAAACAGTTAAGTGAAAAAGTGATGAATTAATTAAAAAAAAACGTGTCAAATGCGGCATTCAAGGTATAGTTTTCATTTTGGGGAAAAATGGTTGTTACCATCATTTTCTAAATGTCTTAAAGTGTGTGAAATAAATTTAAAATGTCAAAAAATGATGAGAATTAAGCTGTAAAAAATTAAGTGAAAAAATGGGTCTAATTTCAGTATTAAAAATGAACCGTTGAGTTTTAGAAAAATTCAATTGCACCATTAAATTCTACACACATTGAAACCAGGAAATAATTTTAAAATTTCACAAAAGCATAAAAAATAAGGTACATACATGCATGCAAACAATTAATTGAAAAATAAGTGGAAAAAAAAATTAATAATCAAAATTCATTTTTATGGAAAATGGACTTTACCATTAAATTCTACACCTTTCATAGTGTAGGAATAAATTTTAAAATTTCGAAAAAACTCGAAAAATAAGCTGTAAAAAATTAATTAAAAAACCGCGTCTAAAAGCGGAAACCGCGTGTGCTGCGGCGCATCAAAACCGCGTCAAAACGCGGAAAAACCGCGTTTTTTTATTAAGGCCCAAAAATAAGGTAAAAACATGTATGCATACAATTAATGGAAAAAATGAGTAGAAAAAAAAATTAATAATTAAAACTAATTTTTATGGAAAATGGTTTTCACCATTAAATTCTACGCGCTTTGAAACCTAGGAAACAATTTTAAAAATTCAAAAAAACTCGAAAAATAAGCCGTAAAAAATTAATTAAAAAACCGCGTCTAAAAGCGGAAACCGCGTGTGCTGCGGCGCATCAAAACCGCGTCAAAACGCGGAAAAACCGCGTTTTTTTATTAAGGCCCAAAGAAAATCAACTTTTTTTGAAAACTTTAATTTTTTGTTTGAGTGAAAAGTGAACACACAGAGGGCAAGTTTGGAACATGAAAATAATGATTATAAATGAAAAATATTGATCCCAAAAAAGTTTGAGCATGGTGGGTGGACACCCTGCAGCCAAAATTAGTAGATTGCAGTACCAGAATGCCACATTTCTTGATGAATGACCCCCTAGGCACCCTTTTTAAACCACCAAGTAGTCATTTTTTTCCAAATTTTCACTTCTTATTATTCATTCCAGATCTCATACTATCATTTTGGGTTCCCGGTGTGAAGCTCAAAACAGATGGCTATAAACATCTGGGAGGAGACTGTACATAAGTACAGGTGTTGCAGTTACTTGGTACATGAAAGGTACTGTGACATGTACTCTGTGGCTGTCACAGTGTGCAGAGACTGAGTTTGAGATTGAGTTACAGCAGTCATGGAACCACCACATTGTGTCAGGTGAGGTTTCCAATGCTATCATCCGTTGGTTTTTGATGAACTTTAACACATTGATTGCACTCTTCAGAGCCGCAACCACCGACACGGTTTTCTGTATTAGGTACCGTGCAGTTTCTGCCTCCGACATTGCGCCTAAAGTGCAGGTGGTTCTGAAGGCTGACCAGCCAACGGAGTCGAGTGGTGCATTGCGCTGCTGTACAAGCCGATCGATATCCTCCTGGGTCATAAGCGGCTTGTCATTGTCGGCTGGGAGTGTGGTGCTGGCGGGGGCAGTGGCAAGCACGGAGCTGGTGGTTGTGGTGGTCATCTGACACTTGGCTCTGCTCAAAGTGCGCCTACGTTTAGCGTTTTCCGCAACATTTGCTGCACTTTGCTGAGCTCTTGCTTCCTCGGGTTGGACAGTTTCACGCCTAATGACCAATGTGTCTGCTACCCAACTAGTGAGGTCTGGTCCGGCTGTGGTTCCACCCGGCTGTAGCCAAAAATCAACGGGGTTCTCGACAACCAGTAGTGAATAGTGTTGTGCAAGGTAGTACATGTGTTTGCACCCACTTCCGTAGCAAACGAAGTACTTGCAAGTGCAACTATTAAGGTGACCGCGTTTTCTGGTGGTGCCTTCTTCATGTCGGCAAAAATAAAAGTTGAGGCCGGGGTTGGTAAATGAGTCAATGGTGAACTGCATTTACACTTGATGGTCAGCATTCAATGCTTGAAATGAAAATTAGGAGAGTTCTTACATGTCCGTGGTGTTTCACAACGTTTATTCCTAACAATGACATGATTGTGGGGGAATATTCTTCAGCCTTTGCCTTTGCAAACGATTGAAATTTGTTTGTTTGCTGTAGTTTATGGCCTTTCGCGACTTGAAGGTGTGACATGAGATAAGCTGTATGGACCTCGTCAGTCAGTACCTGAACAACTTCATTGGTTTGTCGACGTTCACGGGTGTTGATGAAGTGGGTCTTCAGGATTTGGTGCCAAGCCTCGGTGTAATTGTTTGTGTGGATACCCTGATGAGGAGTCTGCATGAATTTTGTGTCAGTCTTCCAATGTGCTGGCATGTAAGGCAAATCTTGGTTACAGGTACTGACTAGGCAATAGTCCATAGCCCAGTTGACTATGTTGCTTTGCCACTGCATCCGCACATAGTCAACAAAAACCTTGCTCACAGGTGTCCACTTATCGTACAGCTCTTGAAGTTGTATTTCCACCCTTTGCTCATCGTACAACGCTTGTCTGAAGTTGGCCACCGCTTTGGCGGCCCTGCCAGACAAGTAGGAAATAGCCTGCTTCTTGAACGCTTTGAGTGCATGGAAGATGCACTAATATACCTTGGGTGCTTGCACTCTCAAGTCGGAATATGCCGCTGTGATGCCCTTTTTGATTGCCTGAGCACAGTCACTCATCACTGCGCAAGGGATTATTCCAGTGGTGCGTCTCAACCATCTGATTATTGCCTCCACGGGCTCTCTGTTGAACAAGAATCAGATCAGGTTTAAAAAATGATATACAAAGCACATAGGGTGGAACCCACGCTGTGGAACTACTCAACCAGGGAGATAGAGCTTGGAGGGGATATAGACAACTACACTAGTACTAATGTAAGTTGAGACTACAGGTGCTGATGAGGCTGCCCTCCTGTACAATGCTAATGGGAAGAGTGTAACACTAAGAAAAAGAAGAATAAAGGTGTGGCTGATTTCTACTTTATCTTAGACTACTATTACTGATGAGCTTGTGTATGTGGTACCTACTGAGGTGTGAGGAGGAGGAGAAATGAGGTGTGATGGGATAATACTGGCAAGGGTGTAACACTGGCAATGAGGAATGACACTGGCAAGGGGAATAATCTGGCAAATGAGTATTTATAACTGGCAAGGGGTGATGTATAACTGGCAAATATAACTGGCAATGATATCTGGTAAAGATATAAGGGTGATACTAGTTTATGATTTCTAAGACTATGGTTAGAGGTTACATATGAAAACTGGCATAAGGGGGAAAATACATGAGGAGGAAGAAAGAGTATATATGTGTACAACATGTACATACAACAGCAAAGCACTATGGCAGGGGAAATCCTGGCTATGGGTAATGCAAGTCTTAAACAGTAATGAGTGATGAGAAATAATGTAGCTAAGAGACAGATGTTCTGTCTATACAAGTGTTAATCAGGTATGGAAAGTCAAAGCAGTGTGAAAAGAAATATGTACATGATGTAATGTAGTTAAGGTTATCCTGATTGATGTATGTAGTTATGGTTATGCTGAATATGTAGTGTAGTATGTAGTAATGGTGATGTACCATGATGAATGAGTGATTCTACATAGAGACTGTAACTATATAATGTGTAATGTATATGTACTGTATGTATAAAGTAATGTACTGTTCTGTAACTATGAATATACTGAGGATATGATAACTAGAGAACTATAAGAGATACTGAAAAGCTGTAAGAGGTGACTAGGGGTGAAATATTGTGTAGAGTCTGAATATGAAATAATACTGGGAAGAATATATGTAGATGATGAAGAAAAATGAGGATACATGGAAAGGTATGGACATACCACAACGCAGCCGCCAAAGCCGTGAACGCCCAACAGACCGGTAAACCCTTTCCAACTACCGGATCACGAATAACGATTGTGTACAAGCTGAATGTGCGCCCACCGAGAAGGATTCCGTTGTCGACAGAGTTGTGAGTGCTGTCTATCATTATCATACCTCTTCCATGTTTGATTAGTTGTTCCTTTTTCCATGTTGATTGGAAAGAAAATAGGAAGTTGGATGAGTTGGAAGAGTTGGGCAGGAATGTATTCCACAATTGCCTGTGCAAGTTTTGCTCCCATAACCGGATTGATTCGAAGGGTCGACATTTCGCTTGGCCAGAGCTCCCATGCGGGTGCAAATCAAGTGACGGACATGATTGTACTTGACGATCTGGGCTTCCAGTGTCACCAGATCACTATTTAACTGGGTCCACAAAATTTCCTTGTCAGTTCGGTATGTTTGCAAGAAAAATTTTCAGGAATGGAATTTGGACTTACAGCAAAGATCTCTGGGCTGCGCATGAGCTGGAGGATTGAATCCCAGTTGAATCCTGAAATCACCCTTTCAGTAAGCCAATTCTCGACCATCTTGGGAGTGCGGTTCTGCTGAATCTTGTCCACAGAGAAGGGATCATGATTGTGCTGCCACTCCCATTCCACCCGAAGTTGGTCGGTCTTTATGTGGTGAAATATGCTGAACCGCGCTTTGCAACCACATTTTCGAGATAAGGTGTGTTTCTTGCGAGAGTTGGGGACTGCAATTTGAATGCCACTTTGGGGACATTTGAGATCCAGACAAAAAGTATGCTCGAGGGGGCGGCCAGTTTTTCCTGATGGTGGGGTTGTAGCTGTTTTCTTCTTTGGAGATCGTTGGACACTCCAATATACAGTTGCCTGCATTGCAGTGACAAATGCCTCTGCATCTGGCAAAGTGCGTCCTGGAATGGAAAATCAATGAATTGCGTCGGGGAAGGAGGGGGCGGTCCCATGCACACGTCGAATCATTTGTAGTGAGTTGGAATTGACTTTCTGATCAGGCTGGAGGTGAAAGGAAGAGGGACTACTTGATAAATATCATGTACAAGAGGATAATTGTGAGAGTCAAGGTGGCTGGTGGTTCGCTTCATGGTGAATGGCAGTGGATGTCAATGGGGAGGAAGTGGAGAGGGGATTGGAAAATTGAATTAAATGGATGGTTGAAGATTAAAGGAGGGGGCTACGGTTGATGATTTATATAAGAGCATGATTCACTTATGTAAGGAGAGGAAGGCAAGGAGGGGAAAAGAAGGGTGGCAGTGGGAAAAAGTCGAGCAAAGTAAATGAAGCTAATGGAATCAATTGATTAATTGGAGTAAGATGTTTGGTAATAAAGCAAAGGACAAAAATTAGAGTTGGTGACCGGGCAAACAGCAGAAGAAATGAACTGGGGAGAGATATGTGTGATGAGAGACAGGGACTGTAAATCTGTTTGGAGTTGTGAAAAAAATGCACCAAGGGTTGAAAATGCTATTGAACTTAATAATAGTTCACTTTATCTCTTTCTCTTATTTTAAGTTATGCATTCTTTTACTTAGCAGCGCGCCGCAGTTGTTTGAAACCTAGTTGATCGTGTACAAGATCTCTCACTTTATTGTATCGGTTCTTTCTTCAATCAACTAAATTGTTTCTGATTAACAACTCACTAACCATCAACATCGTTACTCAGGTTCGTATTTCTTTCTCTTCATGTTATTGTTGTTCAAGAGTTTAACCTTCTTTGTTCTCATCGTGTTCAGGTTGGTTCTCATCGTCGCTGTTGTCTATAAGTCGTATCCTTAAGATACTAACTTATACATCTCCTCAAAGGTGTGTATTAAAAGAATTGCAATCAACTAAATTGTTTCTGATTAACAACTCACTAACCATCAACATCGTTACTCAGGTTGGTTCTCATCGTCGCTGTTGTCTATAAGTCGTATCCTTAAGATACTAACTTATACATCTCCTCAAAGGTTGGTTCTCATCGTCGCTGTTGTCTATAAGTCGTATCCTTAAGATACTAACTTATACATCTCCTCAAAGCTCGTTGTTCATTAAATGCAAACGTTGAGGTGAATGTGAAATAGAGGCAGGGCAAGGGGAAGGACACTTGGTTTACTTGAAAAAAAAATTAAGGAATTTAAAACCTATGTTTTCCAGTTGACCTGGGTTCATGGTGCCGCAACTCTCCCTTCGAAGCAGGGCTGTTCTGCCGAAGGCTTGGGCCGAAGGCCCCCATCCTTTTGGACAACTAATTTCGGCCGAAGGCCGCTGGCAGCAAAGCTGCCAGGAGCCATGGGACCACTGACCAGGATGAGGTTGCTACCCATCCAGTCATTCCATTCAAATCAAGCACAAGACAATTAGTGTTCAGGCTTTTAAGCCAAACTTTTTGCAATTGATTTCATCATGAGAGGTTGCCACTCATCCGAATTCATCATGCAATTGCAAGAAGTTAATGTTTGTTATTGTTAGGCTGCCATGCCAGGTTAGTCATCGATGCTGATTTGTGCCATCAAATCAGTTCAAGCAATGGGAGGCAATGTCATCAAGTGGAACTGAAGAGCTCATTTTATACCTGTTGAAGTCCACCTGGGCAGCGTTCCTGGTGTGTCGCAACCAGTCTGCTAATTCCTGTCCGATTGCCCAGCCCACCACCAGGCAGGATAACCAACGTCGAGCTGTACCCTATGCTCATCTCCCTCAAATGCAACTGATCATCTGCATCAACATGGCAACATGGAGGTCCTACCTCATCAATTCAAGACACCCGAGCAATGTCATTGCTTATTTGGTACTACATTATAGATCTCTCCCATTTAAGATCAGCAAATCAACATAATTTGATCTACCCATCCCACCGATGGCACAGGATGACACACATCCCCTGATAAACTCATCTCAGTCAATGAGAACACATGACCATCTCTATTTTCCTCCACAACCTCGATCTGGAATTGCTCACAACACTCAAAGTTGTCAACCTTGACATTCTCAGGCAGTACCAGCAGACCAACAATAGGTAATTCATGGCAAGTAGCACCACTCTTTTGAACCTCATGTTATCTTTTGGGAAGAAATCTCCTTGCAAGATAACCACACTGCACTGGTAGCATGTACTGATGTTTTCATCATGTGTACAAAAATCTTTGACTACAGAACAACAACAAAAAAACTTCACCTTGGGAGAATTTCCAATTCCATAAATGGCTATTGTCAACAGGAAACAGCAGTAATCAGCAAGAAAATTCTGCTGTTGTGTCATTAAAAAATTGTACCCTATTTCAGGATCAATCAGACCAAGATGTGTCCAAGAAGGTTAGTGTCATGGTGTACACACAATGTTGGGATGTTGTAGCTGGCTCAGAGATTTCTTCTTTGGGTGAATATTATAGTTCTCCAATCAACTTGACTCTGTTGAATGGTGATGTCAATAAGATAAAAAACTTGCTCATAACACCCATCCCCAGTGAATTT